ATAGATAGATAGATAGATAGATAGATAGATAGATAGATAGATAGATAGATAGATAGATAGATAGATAGATAGATAGATAGATAGATAGATAGGTTGGAAGGTCTTTGTATTTAAATGTGAATAAATCTCAGTATTGTCTCCGTTCAATATCCGTGTGGGCTTCTGGCTTCGCACTGTGTTAAACAAGATTATGGGATGGACGGGATGGACGGGATGGGATGAGGAGCTTTCCCAGCCCAACCGCGACGAGAGCATAACGCCTATTTGTCGGCTCGGATGCAGCAGCATCCTCTCAAACGCACTGCTTCACTACAGTCAGTTCTGTCTCAACCCGTAAAGGATGCCGTACCCTGCCGGAGCATTCATGCAGCCCAACAAGAAGCCGTGCGACATTTCTGCAGAAATAAGTATGAAGATGCACTGAACCTCACTGTGATTTACACTGCATGGGACCAGCACTAGAAAGAAAGAGGGAGTCAAACTAAAAACTCTCTCATCCGACTGCTTCGTTTTCAACTTGATACCGAGGCATGGGAGTCGTCGGCTTGGATGCAGCTCCACACCGGCTTCAGAAGTTGGACAGGCAGAGATTTAATTGCCATGACTCTTGAATACGGACAGGACTTCCAACGCAGTGCAGACGGCGTGCAGTATTTTAGAGTCCTTAAGGTGGACTTCTCATTTTGTCTGAGTGTCTTTGGAGAGTGTTATCTGATCAACGTGTTGCATTTAAAATATAGGCATCTTTAATCTGTCTGAGGCATGGAGGAACATTGATCTCTGAAGTGTCCACGGGTGCTCCTTATTATTCACAGTAACGGAATGAAGACACTATCTTGATATGATGGATGATAGATCCAGTAAGCTCATTTTAGTTCCTATTTTAGCTGTCCTTTTTGTTATGATAGGTTATCAGTACATATGTCCCGCTGGCAGTAATTCATGCCACTTTAAGACTGAGGAGAAATTTAGAGGGGTGAGTCTACTTTCAACCCCTTATCAGGACAGCGATGATTTCTACAGAGATCAAGACCTGGAGGATGATAGCCCTCCGAAACTATCGTCGAAATTCAACTTCACTGAAAGAGACCTTGACAGACACGTGGAGTTCAACATCAAAGGGGACGACGTGATAGTGTTTTTGCACATCCAGAAGACCGGGGGGACGACTTTCGGGAGGCACTTGGTGAGGAATATTCGCTTGGAGCAGCCGTGCGACTGCAAGCCAGGGCAGAAGAAATGCACGTGCCACCGACCGGGGAAAGAAGAGTCCTGGCTCTTCTCCCGGTTCTCTACGGGCTGGAGCTGCGGACTGCATGCAGACTGGACCGAGCTTACGAACTGTGTCCCTGTCATTATGGATAAGAAGGAGGCCCGGAGGAATAAAAGGTAACGCGTGAGAGTCTCTTACAGAAATGCACCCAGTCCCCACAACCCTGGGGGATGCAAAACAATAATGCCCAATTAAACCATGTGACCATAAAACCCTCAATGAATTCAAAATGTAAGTTTTGCCTTTAAGGAAAATGCACTGCCTCTCTTGAGTGGAGAAGTAAGCGGGGATGGAATGGGCACAGGATGGGATGGGTAGGTCTACTCATTGCTATTTCCCTGGAGGGCTTATACAGTTGTCACATTAGGTACAGTATAGTGTACATGAACTTTTTAGGCATCCCCTGTAAGAGGTGAGACTGGAGATAGCTTCTGTAGCTCACTGTAACAACATTCATATACTGTTTTTAAACCTCTAAAATATAAATCTCCTGCAAACAGTTAACAGTTAATTGTGCTTAATTGTGCTTAACACCTATCCAAATAACTACTAATATAACTGCTAATATAATTCAAATAAATCTCCAGTGATACAACCTCCTGAAAATGAACACAGAATTCTATAAAAGCCACTCTGAATCATTCTTTGCCCAACTTTTGTCCTTGAGGTGTTGATGAAGTTGTAAAAAGCTCATGCTCGAGTGCAACTCCTACATCAGGAGCTACTCACAATTCTCTGTGCACCCTTGGCCTTTATGTCTTGCGTTGATGAGTCCCTCTGAGGTGTTTTTTTTTTTCTTTGTTGTTGTTGTTGGCACGCAAAAGCAGTGCGCCACTCCCGTACCACATGAAGTCTCCTCATTTGAAGCCATCTTTACTTCATGACTGAGTTCAAATTTTTCCAGGATGTTTGTTTGTTTGTTTGGTTCTGTGATGTCACCTCACAGGAAATGCGGAGAAGACCTGCTTCATTCAAAACCCATTATCCGTCAGCGCGTTGTGTGGTAATTACAGTTAAAAAGACATTTGCAAATGCTTCTACTAATGTACAGTCTTGTACAATTACTAAAAGTGGGTGTACTGCAATGAAGCATCCAGTGGATGAGCAATGCGTGTTTGAGTGTTTTCGCTTAGCAAAGTGGATATGTGTATATTTCCGTGCAGTTTCCAGAGTCACTGATTCTTTTAAAAAACTGCAGTAGAAGATACTCGTGCAAGTACTACAAACCGAAGGTGTATTGGCCAAATGTCTTGTTACATTTTTTATTCTTTTAAACTGCAGATAATTTCCTTTTCTGGTTCATATATATATATATATATATA